AAAAATTATTTAAATAATCAGAAACTTGTAAAAACAATAACTCTTCTTAAGAAATGTAACTTTGTTTCATAAACAGACCCCTTTATTATATGAATTTTAATGTATTTTTACGCATTTGTTAAGAAAATAGTTGTGTTTGTATAGATAAAAAGTGCACATTATTTTATTTTACTCTTTTATGTATAAATTTATTTAACTCTTTTTTTTTACCTTATTAAGTTTACTTTGTAGATTGTAAGACCTTTACACCTATAAAAAACATTAAATAAATAAACGAGCAGAGGCCTCCGTTTCCAACTGTCCCCCTCTTACTGGATGCTGCATCACTCAGCCCTCTGTGAATAGCAAGCGGCCATCAGGGCACTGGTCCTCCTTTATCATGTGAACAGCTAGTTCTGGGTGTCAACAAATTTATAAGACTGAGTTTATTGCAGCTCCTCAGATTGACAAAGTCTTTTGGAAAAAAAAGACGCAACGTTTCAACAAGTTTTTTTTTTTTTTTTTCTCGACTCTGTCCAGAGGAGCTGATTTAACTTTGTTATATTTTTCCACCTGGATTATTGAGCATGCATCAGCATCAATTCTAAGGTTTTCAGAGTTTATATTTGGTCATATTAAGCAGAAGACAAATTCAAACCTGTTTTTTTTTTTTCATAAGGAGTGTTGTATCGTGTTACTGGAATAAACACACAACTTGTGCACTAATCAACTTTTCCTCGCGTGATCCCTGATTTTATTTCTAATAAATAGTTTTCTGCCGTTTGTCTTGAGGTTGAAGGTGACGTTATGGATTATTTTCATCCTGTTCCTTTCTGGGCCAGTGTTGTTCGTTTTAAAGTACATGGTTGTGAGTCAGAGCGCTGCAGTCTTGCATGGTGAACGGTTCTGACTTGAAAGTGCCAAAATGAATCCGAACCATAACACTATCGCCACCATACCCTCTGGACAGGCTTTGTTTGCTATCAGTGCTGGTTCCAGCAGCCGTTCAGCTTGTCTGAATGAGCCAAAGAAAAAATGGAGGCCTGTAGTTGCTTGAAGGTTCCTCTGTGCCTTTGTTGGTCTTTAAGTATCATGAAATATCCTTTGTTGGCACATTTGTAACAAAAGCTTGTTATTGACACTGCCTGTGGATTAGTGCAGTTCAAACTTTTTATAAATATGGCTTTTATTATCTTTGTGCTTAATTCTTGAGCTGAACTGTCCAGAAACTATCTTTGGCTGCAGCACAAGCAGGCTAACATCTGGTTTACAGAAACTCTGTGGTGTCTTTAGAAATAAAATTTAACTTTAGAGCCATCCTAAAGGTTGCACTATAAGTTGGTGACAAATTGTAATCTTAAGTAAGATTCTAATAAAACTTCTAAACATTATAAAAAAAAAAAAAAATCAAACATGTGAACTGGGACAAACGTTGGCTTTGCACCATTTTTATAGCTTTTAGCCGACATCTTCTCCCCTTTTGTTTATGAGGATTTTTCTTCATTCCTTGATACACTGTTGATTAATTCAGGGAAGCTCTTTCACAGGATTCTAATTATAGGGACCAAGTCCAAACCAACCAGCGGTGAAACAGTGAACATGCTGCTCATAATGAAAGGTAGACGAAAACACTTTATGAAGCTCAATTGTTCTAACTGGAATGACAATTCTACCATTTTTGTCTTGTCTGGGTCTTTCCCATTTGTGAGAACCCAACGGAGCAGAGCGGAGAGCTGGACAGAACCCTTCAGGATGTATCTGGATGCAGATGAAGTCCACGCTGAGGGGACATCAGACATTTAACATGCCAACACTGAGACTCTTTTACTGAAGCAGCAACAATCAGCCAAAGATTCAGGGTTTCACTCCACCTGCTGGACGCTCCGGGCTCAGACAGAGGCTCATGTTAATGTGTTCGATGACAACACCTCCAATAACTTGATTAGATATTAAGAAACTAATGAAAAATCATGGCCATCAAAACGTGCAGTTCTGTTCCTGTAAGTTCAGTATAAAGGATGGACTTGTTCCACTTTGTGTTTCTGTAGTGTCAAATGATTATTGCTTGGATTTGCTTTGAACGTTTTTATTCTTAAAAGGCCTATCTGTGGACACGCACCGCTAATTATCCTCAGCTATAAATACTATAGTATGCAGTATTGAATTTTTAACACCTGTTCTTATACAAGCAATAATTTATTTCACAAAGCAGTCATTTAATTTGTGAAACAAACGTCCCTTATTGAACATGAATTTATGACTCGTTGCTTCCTGATGAGTCCGAGAACAATCGGGAGCAGACAGAAATATTCCGACATGTTTCAGAAAGCTGCAGCTGGTGTTTCCGAGGTACGGAGCCACTAATGAAATAAATCTAACAACTGTTTAATAGATAAGATACTTTATTTATACCAGGGGGAAATTTGAGGCAACCATCATGTTCTAATTATACAGGAAAAAAACACATGAATTAATCAGCAGAAGAAGCAGAATACTGTATTTTTCAAACTATAAGGATCAATTAAAATCCAGTGAGCCTTATCAGGTGCACCTTATGTGTTGAATCTGGTTGTGTTTACTGACCTCGAAACGATTTTATGTGGTTATCGTGAATGAGTTGAATAAAGTTTGACTTATCTGTTTTGTTTCACTTGATGCACCTTATAATCTGAAAAATACAGTAGCCACATTTGGAAGACAATATGCACAAGGTGGTAGGGAGTATATGCATACATGCATATGTACATGTATACACGCATACATTAGTGTCCGGGGTGTCACAGATTTATATACGGCTCTGGGAGGAGTTGAACAGTCTGATGGCTTGAGGGACAAAGGACTTCCAACGTCTCAGCAAATACAGACAAAACATGAGATTCATGCCCCGATGGTTCCAGCTCACAGCGGAACAAAACCCAACATTCAGTTCCTCCCAAAAGGTTCATTTTTGAACAGAACTTTTGCAATAAATAAAACGTTCCCGTTTCTAATTTACTGTGTTTACAGAGAAAACGGGTCAAATGAGTCTCAGCTGGAGCATCACGTGTCTGCAATATATTTTATGGTACGTATTTAAACCCCATGGGTTGAAAAGGTGTTTCATGTCCAAAAACTGTACATTAATCTTTGATATTATATGAGAATCACTGTTTGATCCTTTTAGAAGAAATATAAATCAGTAAGTTTTAGAAAACGGAATAAAATCTGAAAATGCAAATATTTTTCCATCTTTTTAGATTTATCTAAACGTGGAACAAGAAGATCGTTTCTTTGCACGGATTTGTTTTTATTTGACATTTCGTCTCTACCGTCCCCCCCCCAGCAGATGTAAAACTAACTCCTCATCTTCAGCCAGAGACAGTCCAGTATCCAGAGCTGCGCGCTTCTCCTCCTGTTGCTTCATCTTCTTCCTTTTCCCTGATGGGAGCGTCTCCTCTTCATCTCTGCTGTGCTGCCGTTTGGCTGACTCCCTCTCCTCCTCCTCCTCCTGGTCAGAGTGGTGCGGTCGGTCAGGATCCGGCAGTGTGCTGGGGTCAAACTCGTCTTCGCTGTGACTGGCCAGGTAAGCCGGGACGTCGTCTTCATCCTCTTCGTCGCCGACAGTACGAGTGCGCTTGCTGGCCTCCTTCCTGGCTGCCTTGGCCTTCAGCCTCCTCTCTCGGTGTTTGGCCTTCACCCTGCGGCTGTACTCCTGCTTGTCAAACTCCTCATCCTCCAGTCTCAGCCGCTCCTTGGCCTTCTCCACGTTGATCCCCGAGACCTCGTCCTCTTCGTCGGGGCCCGCGTCAGTCACTGCCCGCTGCACCGGGGGCCACAGCTGCACGGCCTGTCCTTCAGTGTTAAACGTCACTTTAGTGTTGACCTGAAAGTTTCTTCTAATGAGCTTTTTGGCCTCTTTGAACTTTGATTCCTTTTCAGGTGTTTTCTTGGAGACGCTGGCAGCTTCCTCTTCTTCCTTCTGGTCCTGGGCCAGATTGAAGACGTCCTTCCTTTTCACTGTCAGCAGGTCCAAGTCCCGAAGATCATCCTCATCTTTGTCGTCTGCACCGAGCACAGCTGTAAAGGACAGATCTTCATCTTTGTCACTTTTATCATCATCATCATCATCGTCGTCGTCATCATCACTGGTCTGACTGTCTTCCTGAGGCAGGCTTCCTCTCAGCTGGGCCTTAAATTTCCGGAGCTCCTCCTCGTCATCAGACTGCTTCTCCTTTTTCTCAGCTCTTTGCGTCTGAGCTTTGTGCAGGAATCGGACCCTGGGGGCCACAGCGAGACCCAGAGACAGAGCATAGTCCTCAATGTTCAGCTTGAAGACATCGAACACGTCCTTGTTCTTCATCAGATAAACTGAGCGCAGGTAGGAGACGAAGCACCTCTGGGCTCTCTCTTTCTGCTCCATCTCCTGGGCCAGGAAGGCCTCCAGCTTCTGCTGGACGCTCTGCATTTTGTCTGGGTTCACCTGAAACACAGGTCGAAATGAAACAAGGAAAGATCTTTGTTCAGCTGGGTGCAAAAAACAAAACATTTAGTCCAAGCTGCAGCTGTCACGACGACGGCCACATTTCACTCTGGAATCATTTGGGCTGCAGAGGAGTTCAAGGTCAACTCACTGAGGAGGTAAATTATGGGATTAAATCCAATAGGCTGGTGTGACAACACCTAAAACACTGATGGTTCTGCAGTGGTTCTGATGTTAACTCAAACTTCATGCTTTAGCAGATCTCCACACATCCTGGGACTTAAGTCATAAAAGCTTCTTGTTACCACTGAAAGTGAAGAACATGGATGAAAGTCTAAGGAGGGAAAAGGAACGTTCCTGGTATGTTTTAGAAAACAGTTTGTTATTAAGCAGAATGTTTGGACAGAAAGATCTGAAAGTTGGTTTAGCTGTTTAAATCACTCTTTAATCAAATCGGATCAATGTTTTGGGAATTATTATTCTCTAATATACAGAAGAACTAATGCATTATTTTTTATTTATTTTATTGTTCTCATTCATGCCCAATGGGGAAATTAACTCTCGGCATTTTTTCCATTGCGCATGTGAGCACACGTGAGGCGGTGGGCTGCCATCTGGGGTGTCTGGGGAGGAGATGGGGGGGGGGGGGGGGGGTTGGGGGCCTTGCTCAGGGTGCCAGAGTGGTAAAAATGAGGGTGGAGGCAAGGCAGGCGTTTCACCTTTTCTACCCACATTTGGATGTTGTCGGTGTGGGAGGTGAACCAGGGTTGAACGGCGACCCTCCAATCACAGGCCCACCCTCTCTAACCTCTGCACCACCACTCCCCCCCATATCACATCCAATATTTCAGTTTAATAAATGTCACATCCAGATGAAAACAAGGAAAACACAATGAACACCATCTCTGTAAAATCCTGCAGCTTGACTGCAGCTGCTTCCTGTCACACAGCAGGAGCTTCTGTGAGGACCTGTGTACCTGTTCTGGTTCTGAGTGGATCAGTTCTGGTTCTGAGTGGATCAGTTCTGGTTCTGAGTGGTCATATTTGTGTGGACCAGTCACGACTCACCTTTATCTTGTTGATGGGGACCTTCTTCTCCTGCAGCTGGGCCACCATGGCGTCCTCCTCAGAGGGCAGCAGCAGCAGCAGGGCCTCTCCTCCCTTCTTGTAGCGGGCGGTCCGGCCCACTCTGTGGATGTACGTGTCCGCATCCTCTGGACAGTCCACCTGCAGGACCCAGTGGACAGCTGGGAAGTCCAGGCCTCTGGCGGCGATGTCGGTGGCGAAGAGCACGGCGCTCTGCTTCTTGAGGAACATGTTGTAGACCTCCACCCGCTTCATCTGATGCTGTTTGCCGTGCAGGGCCAGGATGGAGGACCCGGGTCTGAGACGGCAGAAGACCCGGAACATGTACTGGACCTCCTTACAGCAGGCAAAGAACACAATAACCTTCTTGTTCAGGTGAGTCCTGATGAAAGAGTAGAGCATGTTGACCTTCTGGTGAAGTTCACACACCACATAGTTCTGCTCCAAAGAGGCCGGGGTGCTGAACCGGGCCTGCTCATGGACCCAGACGTACTCCGGATCCTTGAGGCTGAGACGGGCCAGGTCTTTTACGGACTTGGTCTGTGTGGCAGAGAACAGCAGGGTCTGCCGTGTCTTGGGGAGGTTCTCCACTATAGCGTTAAGTGTGTCTGCAAAGCCCATGTCCAGGATGCGGTCTGCCTCGTCCAGGACGAGCATCAGCAGGCTGTTCGCTTGGAAACCGGCTGTCTGATCCATGTGCTGGAGCATGCGGCCCGGGGTGCAGATGACGATGTTGGTTTGGGAGATGCTCTCCGACTCGGTCTGGATGTCTTTACCGCCGATGACGAGCCCCGCGGAGAACTCGTGGTTCTTGCCCACTTTGCGAAGGACTTCGAAGGTCTGGTAGGCCAGTTCTCGGGTCGGGGATATGATGAGGGCTCCGAGGCCGGCCATGGAAGTCCACTGGTGGCGGTACAGACACTCCAGCACCGGGATGAGGAAGGCCAGCGTCTTCCCGGAGCCGGTCTTTGCCGCGCCGAGGACATCTTTCCCCTGCAGAGCGAAGCCGATGGTCTGTTTCTGGATCTCGGTGGGCTGTCGGTACTGAGCCCCCTGCAGACCCAGTAGGGTTTTCTTGGAGATGGGGAAGTCTGAGAACTTGAGCACCTCCTTGGTGTTGATGTGTTCGTACCTCGTCACGAGCCTGCGGATGTCCTCCTGCTCCACGACCCATGCGGGTTTTTTAATATCCGCTCTCGTTTGCTTCACTCGTGCTCGTGTCTTCTCGTACTTCTTCTTCCACCTCTCGAAGTTTCTCACGGGGTCTGGGCTTTCTGTCTTCCAGGCATTACGCCTCTTACCGCCAGAGGTAAACCCTTTCCCCTCCATGTGTTCGGAAAACGTCCACAAACTGGTTCAAAGCTTAAGTCTAGGCTGGAATTGTTGCGTGTTGAAAATAACTTCGCGTCGCATTCAATATGATGTCATCATCGAGCCTTCTTCTTCTTTGATTTACAGGCGGTTGGCAAACAGCTTTGAGTGCGCATTACCGCCACCTTCTGATTGGAGTGTGAACCAGAATTAAAACCCTGATGTATTCTACTGAAAAGTTCTGATTTCACAAGAAACTGAAAAAAATGCCCTACTTAAAATGTGAGTTGAAATTCAAGTGAAGTAACTCAACTAACTTAAATTGCACTTTTTGCTCGTAAAATCGATTTTGAAGAATACCTCTTTCTTTATGATATTTTATACAATCCATAATGTTCAACTGTCTCCAGTGACAGGTCACATTCACAGACTCCTGTAAGATGTTTTCCTTTTCTTTTTAAATTAACATTTAAATATGTATGATGACCAAATTAAAGTCTTGATAAAATATCCTCTTCCTTCTTCCTCCTTGATGTTTCCCTCATCCTACCAACTTTTTGAATAGAAAATGTTTCCCTTTCCTCTCCTTGTTCCATTCCTCCCGCCATTTCTTTTTAATTTCTTCCTTTACAATAGATTTTAGTTCTGATTTGCTGTATGGGATTGATAAAGAAATTTTAATCTTTTAAGTAGATTCTTTAGCAAATTTATCTGCGAGTTCATTACTCAAAACTCCTATATGAGCTGAGACCCAAATCAAACTCCTGACTTTTTCATTAGAGTTTGTAAAATTTGTAATGCAACATCATGTCTTGAGTGAGAATGAGCAAACTTTATACTGCAGATTGCACTACTAGAGTCTGTAGCAACCGAGACTTAATACTTTCAACCCACCTTAATGCTAATATGATAGCTATTAGTTCACCAGTAAATACAGATAATTTATCACTGATCCTTTGATTAGACATGTAACCTATTTCAAGTTCAATAAAACCAATGCATACCCCATGTCCAAGTTTTGAAGCATCAGTATAATTTTTTTGATACTTAAAGTATTTAGATTGTAAATGAGTTTCAACATCTGGCTTGCTGAGAGTTTTCCTTTGTTTTCCTTTTAACAGGTACGTATCAATAAATGTTTCCCCCCAAGGAGGCAGAGCTGAAAATGCCACTGTAGGGCTCACATTCAATTGGTCCATTTTAATCTTATTGATTAATTTTACAATAGTTCATCCAAAACTGCCTATACAGACATTTCTCTTTCTCTTGACTTAAATGAAGAACAGTCTTTGTAAGATGGATATCCTTATGTCATTTTAAGTTGGCCCAATGCACTACTGCCAGCTGTTCCCTTCTGAGGTGCTACGGCATCTCTCCCATCTCAACTTGTAATTTTATTTTCCATTTACCCTTTTATTTATACAGGTAGTCTCATTGAGTCAAGAGAACTCATTTTCAAGAGATGTTTTTGGGAGCAAATGGTGGGGTTTAAGGGCCTTGCTCAGGGGCACAGAGTGAGGCAAATGAGGGTGGAGGCAGGTGTGGGTGTTTTACCTTTTCCACCCACATTTTGATGTTAATGGTACTGGGAGTTGAAACTGCGACTTTCTGATCTGGCTGTATGCCATAATCATCAGTTTTAAAACAATTAAAGACCTGAAATATTTCAGTTGGTGTGCAATGAATCTGAAATATATAAAAGTTTCATTTTTATCATTACATTATGGAAAATAATGACCTTTATCATCCATCCATTTTCTTTACCCGCTTATTCCATTTTGGGTCACGGGGGTCGCTGGTGCCCATGTCCAGCAATCACTGTGCGAGGGGCGGGGTACACCCTGGACAGGTCGCAAGTCCATCACAGGGACACATAGAGACAAACAACCATTCACTCTCACTCACACCTAGGGACAATTTAGAGTTACCAATCAGCCTAACATGCATGTTTTTGGTCTGTGGGAGGAAACTGGAGCACCCAGAGAAAACCCACGCATGCACGGAGAGAACATGCAAACTCCACCCAGAGGGCCCCTGGACTGGGGTTTGAACCAAGGACCTGCTCGCTGAGAGGCAGCAGCTCTACCAGTTGCGCCACCGTGCTGCTTTATTCCCAATCATGTATTTATTTAATATTATAATAAAGTTACTCAATAAGTAAGCTGAATAAAAGACCATACCTTTAATAATTAAAGGACATCTTTGGATGAATTTATTTGAACTATTATAAGGTATTTTTGTTACTTTTTGACAAACCGCTCCAGCGGCGTGGCAGTGGTGGTTTTGTACTGTTTAGTACTGGCTCGGTTTGAATTTATTTGTAGCTAAATAGTTTGAACCTGTTGCACAACTGTCATTTAAACTGAATGTTTGATTCCTTTGTTAGTCTTGAAGCTAACTGATTTTGAGTACACATTTAGAAAATGTGCCTTAATTGAATTATGAAGTCAAATGTTTATGAAATTCATTCAACCTTTATTTAGACAGGTTAATCCCATTGAGCCTCGAGGACTCATTTACAAGAGAGACCTGATTTTAACAAAGAAAGATGACAACAGTGGACTACAGCGACAACAATAGACAATCCTAAAAGAGGCATACAGATTTATTATTTTTTTAACAGATTAAAATAAGATGGCAAAAAAAAAAACCCTGCTAGATTATAAAGCAAATGTAGAAAACTAAATATAGGAATATGTCTGTATTGGTTCTTGACAGGAATTTAACAGATGTTTTAAGCCACTTAGAGAGGTCAAGGTTGAGAGCTTCAGATCTTTTAGCAAGATCTGAAGTTTGTTTTTTTCACGTTTATTTTTTTGTAATGGCTACAAACCATTTAAGCTAAAGCTAATTTAATTTATTTGACTATGTACCTAATTTATGTTTTTGACCTTTTAGGTCAGTTTTTTTTTGGCACCACCATTAACAATGTTCTACAATCGATGGTGAGCTACCACCTGACCACATTATGGTAGGAAATCAACATCTTTGTTGACCACTTTTAGCCTTTGTGTGTGCGTGTGTGTGTGTGTGTGTATCAGAGTCAGAGTTTCTTTACTTGTCAAATGCACCCCATGTGGTACATGTGGTGGAACAAAATTGCATACACAGGGTCCCAGTTACATCCAACAAAAGTATTAAATGTAAAAAACAAAAAAAGAAAAACAAACGTAATAAGATCTAATATATGAACTAAGAAAAATGTTAAACTAAAAATACACTAAGCACTAATAGTACAAAAACAATATGCCGAACAGCAGCACGAACATGAGTCTGTGTGAGCAGATGAGCATGAATGAACACAGCAACATGAAACAGATCAGCAGCAACAAGAAACAGATCAGCAGCAACATAAAAACAGATCAGCAGCAACATGATGTGATTTTTTTTACAGTGATTGTCCTGGTTAGAGATTCATGAGTCTAACAATCTCAGGGTAGAAGCTGTTCCTCAGTCTAGTGGTTCTGCACTTAATGCTGCCGACCCTCCTGCCTGAGGGGAGTGGGGCAAAAAGTGTGTGTGCTGGGTGAGTGGGGTCCTTCATGATGCAGGTGGCCCTCTTCCTGCATCTGGAGGTGTAGATGTCTGTGATTGTGGGGAGACTGACTCCAACATCTTCTGTGCAGCCTTCACCACTCTCTGCAAAGCTTTTCTTTCTGCAGTTGTGCAGCCTCCATGCCACACGTTGATGTTGGAGCACAGGATGCTCTCCACTGCACACATGTAGAAGGAGGTGAGGACTGAGCTTCCCAGACCAGCTCATCTCAGCCGCCTGAGGAAGTAGAGTCTCTGATGAGCTTTCTTGATCAGGCTGGTGGTGTTGTTGCTCCAGCTGAGGTTGTCATTCAGGTGCACACCCAAGTACTTGTAGCTGGAGGCCACTTCCACTGTAGATCCTTCTATGTTCGGATGGGGTGGGGGGTAGGTGTGTTTGTTCCATCTGAAGTCCACAAACATCTCCTTTGTCTTCTTCACATTGATGTGAAAGTTGTTCTTCCTGCACCAGCTCTCCAGGTGTTCCACCTCCTGTCTGTAGCTGGACTCATCGTTGTTTGTGATGCATCCAACCACCGCTGCATCGTCTGCAAACTTTACAATGTGACAACCTGATGGGTAGGTGCACAGTCATGTGTGAGCAGAATGAACAGGAGAGGGCTCAGCACACAACCCTGAGGGGTGCCAGTGCTGAGGGTTTTGGAGGAGGAGAAGTTGTGGATCCTCACATACTGCGGTCTGTTTGTTAAGAAGTCTAGGACCCATATATATATATATATATATATATATATATATATATATATATATATATATATATGTGTGTGTGTGTGTAAATATATACCCATATTATATGCGTGTTGGTGTTGACAGGCTGTCGATTTAAGCAAGCTTTTGTTCACATTGAATGTTTTTGTTCGGACTCGCGCTGAAGATTGAAGCATGATTTAACTCTTCATAATAGGTGACTGAAAGTGTTTGCAAAACTTGATGATGGCAGCTTTACAGAAAATGTAGAAAATTACCTAAACTTTCAATTGTAATACCTCTGCCAGAACTTTATGTGGCGCTGAAACACTACCACAAAATACACAGAAAACAGGAATCAAGACGTGGAGCAAAAAGCTCGGTTGGAACCATTAGCGTCAGAAGTATTTGTAAAAGTCCATTTTTCCCCTCTGGAGAATCACCATCTTATTGTGGTGGAGGGGTTTGAGTACCCCCATGGTTTTGGGTCCTTGCTACCTGTTGGCGTGTCCTATGGCGACATGGCCCCAGGTGTGGGGGTCAGACTAAGAGTGATTCAGGTTTAAAGAAAGCTTTATCGCCTCCTTATGGGTCCACCACTGTTGAGGCCGGATGCTGGGTTTTTTTTCCATCAGTATATCCCTCATTAAGGTGCAAGTGTTAGTTCCAATGTTTTAAGCTCTCTTTTGTTTTTATATTTAAAGAAATTGTATTATTTGTGCTGTGTACAAATGTTGGGTTCATATAGACTTGATCTTAAACTTGACAATAAAGTGACTATAAACAGTTTATATTTTATTTTAAAGCTTGTTTTCAGTAGCGTTTTAAAGTGACCTTTTATTGTGGCCAGCCCGAGGCACACCTGTGCAATAATCAT